CTAATTCTTTCTGGGTTACGGTATTTTCTGTTTTTTTAACGATGAATTCTCGTTGCTTGTAGATCTACGCGTGCGCCCGATATTGACCTCAATTTTTTTATCTTTTGCACAACATTGTTCTGTAGCCTGCGCATTGGGTTTTATACTGCACTCTGTTTCAGAAAATACCCATCGCCAATCATACGATTGTTATTTGTTGTCACTGTCAATACGATGTCTGGGCGTTTCTCCCGTCGATTATTCAGTCACCTATATGCTGCCCATAGATGCTTCTTTTGCGTAGTTACATTAGTTGTCCATTGCCTGCGATCGATATTCAACGATACACATTTAAACGTGTTTTGACACGGTGCCATTAAGAAACCAATGCATTATTTGTTTACATTCAAGATTAACATGACTATGGTTCCTCATTCACGACACTGTCGGACATAAACACTAAAAGTGCCTCACGTCCACACTATTAGATTGCTTACTCTGACAATAAGCACATCTGTATTGCCATTTGATGTCGAATCCAATCAGTATATTTCTGAAATATTTCTTAACAGATCAAAAGTAAGAACACTTCCGATGGATATGATATACTAGCAAGTGTTGTATAAACTGGGAATGGTACCAAGACTGCATTGTCTGTTTTACTGTTCAACATCTAAATCCATCTAAATTTTACTCGGACCCGAATTTGTAGCAAAACGACCTGATTTCATATTACTTCCAGAACCTAAAAGAGAACAAGGTTAAAAAAACGTGGAGGTTAGATGGTGACTCCAAGATCGTCTGCAGTATCTGGATCAGCGCTGTGCGTTATATAAGTCTAGAAAAAGGTAAATCATAATTTCGAACACCCCGTTATCGATATATTAGTTTGTATTGTACCTGATAGTAGTACACAGCAGTTGGCGCATAGAAGTATTTTTTAAGCTCGTGCTGGGTATTATACTCGCGATGTGTAGTTTTACATCCTAAGTGGATCGATGGCAGCATGTGAAAATTACAATTGTATACTTTCTTCTATATACAAGTATAATAGAACCACGTTTGGTTAACAGAATTGAAATTAGTATAGCTGCGTCTTTCTACTTTTATATTTCCTTCTAGACTTTTAATGTTCTAGGTTTTCAAAGTCTCTATATTTCTCTTGCAGTAACATCTCTCCTCCATTGCATACCCTAGATACACTACTATACCTTACTCGCACGATAATTTGTCGTAATACGCCTGACTCGCACTATAAAACCCTAAACCCTAAAACTCGCACTATATCCCGTCATATTTTCGCCGACTCACACTATACCTTGTACTATGTCTAAATCAACATTTTGTCGTACTATGGCCGTCTCACACTATATCGTATTGTACTATGACTGACTTTTGCTATATTATGTCTTACTGTGGCACACTCACACTATATCTTGTCGTACGATGGCGGACGCGCACTATATCATGTCGCACTTTGGCTGACTCACACTATACCATTTCGTGCTATGACTCCCACTATTTTGGTACTATGATTGACACACTATATGTCGTCGGAATGTGACTGAGTCATATTATATGTCGCTGTAATGTGACTGAATCGTACTATATGTCGTCGTGCTGTCACTTACTCGCACTATATATTTTGCCGTACCGTGGCTGCCCACGTTATGTCTTGTTGTACTATGGCTGACTCACACCATACTTTGTTATACGCTGACTCTCACTATATCCTGTCTACATGTAGTATTATGGCTGACTCGCACCATATGTTGTCATACTATGGCTAACTAGACTATATCTTGTCGTATATATATATATATATATATATATATATATATATATATATATTATATATATATACTATATACGTACGTACGGACGACTATATATACATACATACTAATACTAC